CCAATAACACCAAAACGGCTTAATTCGAGTCCAAATGGGCAAAAATTAAGCATTTGATGTATAGTCGGAAATTTCATGACACTCTATAACAAAGCAAATGATTTATAATGTTGTGTATTTATAATAAAAAATGAGTATCACTGCGAAAGAAATCCGACAAGCATAAAATCACTCAACATTGATATCATGAAGACACTTATATATCAAAATAAATTTATGATCAATGAATTTAACAAAAAATATTTGATAAAGTGTATAGCAATTTTGGCGAAAATAATCAGCGTCATTCTAAAATTATAAATTGACTCATATTCTATATATGAAAGAGATCTCGAGCTAGAGTTGGAGACAACTTTTGCTAATTAATTGATACCAATGATCACTATGGACAGTTGCTACCAGCTTATCACCATAACTCTATTATTATCACCAAACTACCATCACCCTATTTCCTTCGCTTCACCATCATCACTTGATTATTGTTGCTTAACAAAAATTGACCGACTATCATTGTCATACCACTATCATTTAACTATCATCACTTGATCATCATTACCATTGGCCTGGCCAGTTGAAATAGTCTATTATAGTACTATTTAAGTGAAGTTGATGAAGTGGAGCACTAATACCAAGTCTAACAATAAAGTCGCAAACTAAGGCTTTGCATCAAAATTTGGGTAATTCATTTATGCATAACTCTCCATAAAAGCTCATGAATGATCCCTAATGTGACACCTTCAGGTTCAACATTCAGTAATACCCGTGTTGACTTGATTGGAAAAATGTAAAGATTTGAACTTTTGAGCTTTTAAATCATTTGCATGTTTTTGAGAGTATTTTGGTGCATTAAAATGATTATGTGTGATTTAGGAGTCCTAAGTATTTGCTGTGAATTTCGTCAAAATATGAAAACTATCATTATTGGATATCTGTTTAACCAAAGCGTAAAATAGTGACACTGCAGCGCCTATAGTCTTGAGAAAATGAGATTTTTGAACTAATGTCACAACGCTTTGATTGAGCGCTAGGCCATTTTGAGCACTTCAAATATATTGTAAAATCACTATTACATCATTTGATCGAGCGCCGCAGTCGAGCAAGAGAGAGAAAGAGAGGCTATGTGTGATTTAGGAGTCATAAGTGTTAGTTGTGAATTTTGGCAAAATTTGAAAAATGTCAAAATTGGAGCGACTCCTTAACCAAAGCATAAAATAGCGACACTACAACGCCTATAGTGTCGAGAAAATTAGATCTTGAACTAACACCACAGCTCTGTAGCGTTAGGTCATTTTGAGCACTTTAAATGTATTTTAAAAGCGCTATTCCATTCATTTTATCGAGCATCGCAGCCGAGCAAGAGAGAGAAA